AGGGGACTAGGGAGAGACTCTAGCGTGGTTGAGCTAACTAGGCCGGATACGACACCTTGGAGTTGCCTTGTGATCATGGAAAGTTAGTCAATCCTATTTTCGTGATACCTTGGAGGTGTTTTAGGTCGGATTGCACTAACGGTTTAAAAGTTAAAACGGTATTATTTCAGAAATGGGGAACGACATTGCATGGCATGGCAATTCCTTGGTGCATTATACATATTTGTTGATGTTATACTTATTTTACTTGCTTCATACTGAGCTGTATTGTGCATATGATCCCGTTCTCTTGTATTTTATTCCATATGTGGATTCACGGGGTCGTAAGAGGTGTACCTTAGACACTTCCTACTGAGCTTATGCTCACCCCATTTTTTAAACATTTTTCAGGTTTGGAGAAAGAAGGTGCGGACGACCACTCACCGTAACTTAAAACTGGACTAGAACTTTTACCTTGTTGTCTTTTGTATAGAAACATGATAATGTACCTTTTATAAAGGCTAAGTGTAAGTTGTATAGCATTGTAAAGGTAGAATTTGTGTAAATGAATATATTTCATGGGCTGTAAATTTTATGAATTTTTGTTCTTTTGTAAAAGATTTTGACGAATCAAGTATAATAGTGTTGTCATTCAGCTTAAATAGATCATGTGATCTGTATTCAATGGTTTGCATATGTTTGGACATGATTTATTCAGTGTAAGGTTTCATAGTAGCCCCTTTGTTCATTCTCTCATCCATAGCAGCTTACTGCAATTTTCCCAACTCGCAGGGCCATTTCGGCTAACCGAAATGGGCATTTCGATCGACCGAAACTTCCAGTAGCCTTACCAATTTTTTTGGTCACAACTGGTCAACCGGTATAGCCATTTCTATCAACCGGTTTGCTGCTATTTTGTGCATCTTGTTCCCTCTTTTGGTATAACTAACCCTAAGCCTTAGAAGGTTGTTTAGAGTTTTCATGGAACATAATTAAGACGTAATAATGATATAACATCACTGGACTTGATGGCTTTGACTTAGGCAACCTCGGGTTCGGGTAAGGACCCGGTTAGCGGTTCGAACCTACGGGTTTAGGTCATTACAATCTCCCCATAACTTTAGAATAATTCTGAAATTTTATATATGATATATTTCTTATGGTTTTCCAACACATGAAATACCATATATTAAATATCTCACTTCATCTACCTTTTTAAGGTTCCATATTCGCTTCTCAACAAGCATATATAACAGTCTCTAGTGCATATGTACTCACTTTATCTCTAGCATATTCTTATAATAATTCACCAACATTACTATTAATTAATGCTCAAGATACTAATTACAATGGGTTCTAATTAATATTTGCTTCTGCATCTTTAATATTTATGAATTGAGTTATTCATGTTTAGGTTCATGTTAAGTCAGTCATATTAACATGTCATAACCTTTCATGTGTCACACATCACATAATTCAATCATTTAAGCAAATAATTATCTTATTATTTAACCTTTGGATACAATCACCACATAGTGAGCACTTATTTCTTAACTATTATTACTAGTTAAAAGTGAGTTTTTAGCTGTCATTACTAGCTTAGATTAAGTACACTATTCTCATAGCTCACTATTAGGTTATGATGAGTACCCACTTCTCAGCTATTACCGTTAGTTTGAAGTTAAGTTTGTTTAGTTATCAATTATAGTATATCATAACTTTAGTACACACTTATCTAAGTAGTCTACCTTGGTAGTAGAGTAATTTATTTTGAAGAATATTCTTCAAAAATTACTACTTTATAAGTAGTATTATTCTCTCCTACATGAGCAGATACTTATGGCTAAAATGGTTACTCATCACCCTTATGTTTTTTACTATCAAGTTGAGAGTTAGAACCAACTAACAGATTTTCATCTTCCTCTTAGGTTTTGTGCACCTTATTAATCATTTTAGCTTATAGCTAAGCTAACTAGTTTGTAACTCAGTAACATTTTAGCTTTTAACTAAATTGTACATTAGAGCTAACTAGCTTGTCTCGGTGTATTTGTTTAGTGTATCAATAACATTTTCCATTAAACTCTTTAGAGTTATTGGAAAATCTTCTCTTATTCAGCCCATTCACAGCTATATGTGTCTTAAACACTAGTATAGATCTTTTTCTTTTGACTATCAGAAGAATTGATATAGTTGGGCTGGTCAATTTTTGTTTGTTGTATTACATACACAAACCAGTCAAGATTTCATACAAATTCAATAATATCACATATTAAATAAACTATATTGTAAAATTGAATTATAATGCACACTAAGTAATTCAACTACATAGTTCAATATTATAGTATCAAATAAAAGTAAACATTTATAAAAATAATATTGAACTTGCATAACAATATAGTTTAATATTATATCACATAATTAATTTAAGAAATAATTATAATCAGGAGAAGACTTTGTTTCCTTAAAACTTTATGGCTCATTCTCCAATAAGCAAGCTAGAAAATCAGGACCAAAAGATTTAGACGTTTTAGCCATTTTGCTATGTCTAAGCTCATCCTTATTTTTATTGTATGATTTATGCACAAGAAAACGATATGCACTACTGTTATGAGCATAACCTATTAAAGGTTTTATGTAACGATCTACTCCACCACATGGTATAATATTGTCTGTTTTGAGTCCGAGCCCGTACAATTTTGGTCTTGAGTTTTATCCCAAAAGACCTCATACCAATTCGAGATAATACCACCACATGCAAACATTTCACCTTTCCCTTATCTTGGCGATGTGAGACTGAGTACCTATAGCTTGCCCAGTGCAGTAGCCTGTCAGTGCCTCTTACACCCGGCCATGGCACACCTGCCCACAAGGTCGTCACATTTTAAGTCCATTTTAACTTTCATAGAAGTAGGAATTGCAACATTAGTTAGACACCCCCACACTTTTAAAATACGATTTTTGCGTTCAGCAACACCGTTCAATTGCGGTGAATAAGGAGCGATAGTTTAGTGAATAATACCATATTCTGAACAACTATAAGAGCATGGTGTTTTGTATTCACCACCTCTATCATTTCTTAACACCTTGATCGTTTTGCCAAGTTGATTCTCAACCTCATTTTTGTAATGTTTAAATATACATAACATTATCTTGTGCAATCATTAATAAAAGTAACGAAGTACCTTTTTCCATCTCTAGTTGGCATAAATTTAAGATAATATAATATAATACATAATATCATATTACAAAAATAACTCAACCAATACTGAATTATATCAATAATCTATTTATATAACATGCTTCAATTTCACATAATATTAAACACATCAATATTTAGCATATTATCATATAATAATGTATATAATATTATTTTATTATATCTCAACTATTAGTATGATATCTTCTTGTTTATATTTTAAATAGAAGCATATAATAAAATTCACGCAAGGAATGATTCTGTCTTAAGAGTGTTGGTAAAATATATGCTTCAAATGACATTTAAGACATAAATAACCTTATACTAATATGCCATAAAATAATTAATAATATGCTAAACATAATTAATTAAATATTCAACTCGATATTTAATTAAACATGCAAAATTAAAGCAGTAAAATAATAATAATAAATAAAGAACTTGGACCGAGGCTAGTATTGGATATTATACCCTTAAGACAGATTTACCCCGCTATGGTGCTAACGGATTTAGTGGCATCTATCTCCCAGGATACAACGGTTTACATCCACCAGTAGTAGCACTACAAACTCGTGGATACGGCGACCCTTCTCTGTGTAATACTCTCTCTGACTCAAAAATACATCTATACTATATAAATAATGAATTGGTGCAATCCGAACCAAATGACTCAGACCAAATTTAATATGGCTCAATGAAATTGGTTTTGGGCCTAAGTAGCTCAGACTACTTGACCATGGCTTGAACCCACATCCACTTGGGTTAGGTTCATCTTGAGAAAGGGAGAGAATAATATATTGTGCACCTTAAATGGCAACCAATGGTGGGTATTTATAGATAAGGTGGTGTCTCTTTGTTAACAGGTACAACCACTTCCAATGGGTTGCAATGGTTGGTTATGGACAAAGCGGTGTCCCATCATTATTAGATGTGTCTATTCATTTGAGATGCAATGGTTTAGAGTAGTTGCATCTGTTGATTATAACCACTCCTAAAACATCACCTTACCCGAATCGACACAACCTTTCACACCAAAATATTCTTGTTGCAACCAACATACAGTTGCTATTCACATGTTGTAGTCTAATGTGATATACATAGACGCATTGGCGGCAAGTTACATTCACACACCTTTCTAACATAATATATATATTTTCTCATGCAGTGTCGATGGTCCCTAGCTCTCCTCCTGATGCTACTACTGGTTGGTTGTTTTTATGGTTATTTTTTCGGTTGATGGATATCCTATATTTTGTATTATTATTTTTATTATTAATAAGTGTGTACTTACATTAGCACAATACATTAATCACAGACCTTAGTCCTATGCATCTATTGAACAATTCCTGTGAAATGACGTTAAAATCCATTCAGTGGTTGTGCTCATTAGTCATTATTACATGGTTCTGGTTTTTTTTCTCCCCTTTTTTTTTTTTTTTTTTTTTTTTTTTTTTGTATATAATTTAAATTACACATACAAGTTTTGTTTTTCAAATGGTATTGAGATATAAACAAATCCAAGTATCCAACCTTGATTTACTAGCTAATGAAAGGTGCATAGTTTTTTTTTTTTTTTTTTTTTTCACATCCAAAAATTGCATGACAGCAATTTTAAGGCAAGAATAAATATTGAACACCTATATCAAATCTTCTTTGCAACAATCAAAAGGATGAGTGCTTTTTTGTGTGGTAACATTTTGATTTTTGAAATTGATAGAAGCCCATTTAATTGTCACATAGAATTCATTATTATTTTATCATCTTCCTGCAGTTAAACCTCCACCATAGAATATTGCTCCCCCACCGGAATCTCAAAATCCTCCACCTCCGGAAGCACAGAATCCTCCACCTCCACCTCCACCTCCACCTCCGGAAGCGGAGAGTCCTCCACCAGTTAGTGCTCCACCACTGGAGGCCCAAAATCCTCCACCTCCTGACTCTGAAAATCCACCTGCACAAGTGCCATCACCAGCCACTTCTTCCGCAACATCAGACATCACGAAAGGAGGACCAAAGTCTCCTTCACCTCCCCTGCGAGCTCAGCATGTATGTTCTATGACAACAAAACATGACAATATAAACGCGAATCATACTTGTACCAAAATTTTGAAATAACAAATTTTTTATGACGTCCGGGACTGCAAAAAACAACTCTCCATAATGTAAATTAATTTCATAACATAATAGAAATAAAACAGAAATAGAATTTCATTAACAGAATCATAGACTCCCCAAACAAGAGAATTAAAAAAATAATAATAATAATTCCGCTCTCCCTTTCTTTCTATAAACATGATAAGAAAGGTACAAAACAAAATTCAGAATAGCAACTAGATTTGATACGCAACGCCTCACCATAACAACTGTTCTTCTTTTTGGTAGATAAAATACACACACTATTGCTCCCCCTTGTTAACCTTGAATAATTCGCCAACTTCATCTGAATAAGGGAGTACATAGTTCTCAAAGAAATTCTTATCATTCATCTTGCATACATACGACAAACTCCGCTTTTTAAGAAGCAAATTCTTCCTTTCCAAAACCTCCATAACTCTTAGCCGCTGTTTAAGCCTATTTTCAACACTGAGAGTAAGTAAATCTGGGTTACTAATAACAAATGATATATCATATTTGTCCGTGCTAAGGAAAAGCTGTGTTATAGCCTTAATTTTCCTCTCTGACTCCAGGAAAACAATAGGCACTCTCCTAAAAATTGACAAAATATCATCTTTCGAAAACCCCAAACTCTTAAACACCTCTAAATACAGACTCTTAGATAGAGAAAATGTCCCACAAGAGTGTAATAATAAATTACTAAATTTCATGATCGAAAGGTCTTTATTGAATTAGTCCACCAAATGTCAAATAGACCAGGACCATCTAATAATTTCTCTCAATTTCAACTCCCAATTCTCTTTACTCATAAAACTAAGAACCTGAACCGCGTGAAAAAACATCTTACACTTCCTGTCAATTGCTCATATCATCAATCATCTTGACAAATTCTCTAATTCTCGTCAATTTAAGAATGAAAACAGTTGGGTAATTACAGACATATTGAGTTATTTGCGACGAATTAATGCCACAACTCTTCATCAATTCAATATTGGGTATCACAGTTTTCACAAAATCATACCTCAAAATCCTCCCATTTTTCTTTTAAACCCTAGACACATCATCCATATTTGAACCCAAAACACCCTTCAATCCTAAAATCGATGGGCCAAGCCGATTCACAACGCTATAAAGTAGAATCGATGGGTTATTCAAAACAATTTTCACAACGTCGCTAGAAGAAAAACTCAAGTCTTGAAAAAACTTGAATTTGGGTATGATGGAACGCTCAAGATTTGCAGAAAGAACTTGAGGCATGCGTTTGATGAGAAGCTCAAGATAGGTATCCGCAAAACCACTTTCCAAGAAATGTCATATTTATCTCTGATTATTTAATTTAATTAATTTACAAAATATCAACCCTGTTAATCAACAAAATTACCCTCATCGTTAATCTTTTTTCTCTACCCTAATCTTTAATCATTGCAAGAAGCACCTACATAGTGCAGACAACTTCATTCATGATACTGCTAGCATCCGAAAAACACAGAGATTATAAAACACGGACCCATAAGTAAGAATACAACTATTTTTATGGGTTTTATCATTGCGTCGGTGTTTAAGTAGTATATAACACACAATTGTAGAATTAAATGGTACTAGAGGAGAATTTTATAGTAACAACTGATTGCATTGTTGATCATTCGGACCTTTCATAGACGTAGATCTCGAACCTATGAATGAGAATATTCCTGAAACTCACAAAGAAAAAAGGAAGTTGTTAGATTTGTTTAACAAAACTTCATAACCAAAGAGAAATAGACAATCTAAAAATCTACTGCAATAATTTTATTTTATTTTATTTTATTTTATTTTTTATAAAATACTCGGGTTATTTGCAGAAAAATTTTCAAAATTATTCATTTTCATATGGAGCATAACATATAAAAAAAATTAGCCCCAATAGAGACCGAATATTCATTTTTATTTTTTATAAATGGCGAGTTTATAAAAGAATGAAAATATTTTGACGCAAAATATAATCTCATAAAATAGATCTCTGTTGGAGCTAATTTGTTTATATATTCGGCTCCATATGTAAATTAATAATTCTGAGTCTCTAGCATTTTATTTTTAAAAATAAAATAAGATTGTTGGAGTAGATTTTTAGATTGCCTATTTTTCTCTAATTATGAAGGTTTGTTGTACAAATCTTATATTTCTGGAATCCTTATTTTATAAGTTTTCCGTACATATATTATTTGCAATATTTGGATGCACAGTTTGTGAGATATGAATTTTTAAAGTTCGGAAAAACTAAAATTTAAATAAAAGGGGATTTTGGTCCAAATAACAATTCTTTTACCTCCTAAATAGATAATTGAGGGGGGTTCTTTGGTAAAAAATTAGACAAGGGAGATTTATTCAAAATGGCTACAAGTCGATGGGGGTTCTTTGGTAAAAAATTAGACGAGGAGGGTTTACTGAAAAAGACTACAAGTCGAGGAGGGTTTTCTGTACTTTGCCCTAAAAATTTTATAAATCTCTAAAAATAATTTTTTATTTTTTGAATTCTTGATAAATTATTTTCTGAATGATAAATCAAGCAGGAATATGAAGAAAAGGTATATTTTATTGTAATAAATGGTTATGCATTGTAGTATGGTGTGCTGTAGTTCAATTCAATCTATGACAAGCTCCCTCTTAACCCAATGACATTGAAAAGTATTTCTAATTCATAGACATATTGAGTATTGATTATATAGAATTACAATCCAATGGATTCAGTCTCATTTGAGTAGACCATTCAACAGATTTCTCACATGTCCCAATTTTTTTTTTTGACATTTGTAACCTAATAGACAACTAATTCACATTTTGAGACTGTCACATGTATGTTCTATGACAACAAAACATGACAATGTAAACGCCAATCATACTTGTACCAAAATTTTGAAATAATAAAATAAATAAATAAATTTTTATGATGTCCGGGACCTGGGTTGCAGAAAAACAACTTTCCACAATGTAAATTAATTTCATTAACATAATAGAAACAAAACATAAATAGAATTTCATTAACAGAATCATAGACTCCCCCCAAAAGAAGAGAATTTTTTTAATTTTTTTCCCCCTCCCTTTCTTTCTATAACCATGCTAAGAAAGACACAAAACAAAATTCAAAATACCAACTACATTTGATATGCAACGCCTCAACACAACAACTCTTCTTCTTTTTAGTAGGTAAAATACACGACTATTGCTCCCCCTTGTTAACCTTGAATAATTCGCCAACTTCATTTGTATAAGGGAGTACATATTTCTCAAAGAACTTCTCTTCAGTGATCTTGCATACACTTGCCAAACTCGGCTTTTTAAGAAGCAAATTCCTGCTTTCCAAGACCTCCACAACTCTTAGCCGTGGCTTAAGCCTATTCTCAATACTGCGACCAAGTAAGTCTGGGTTTTTAACAACAAATGAGATATCACATTTGCCCGTGCTAAGGAAAAGCTGAGTTATCGCCTTAATTTTCCTCTCTGACTTAGCAAAAGCCTGAGGTAGTCTCCTAAAAACTGACAAAATGTCATCGTCCGAAAACCCCAAACTCTTAAACACCTCCAATTTCAACTCCCAATTCTCTTTAGTCATAGAACTAATAACCCGAATCGCTTCAATAAACGACTTAGAGTTCCTGTCAAAACCCATCTCATCAACCCTCTTGACATATTCTCTAATACTCGTCGGTTTATGCAAGAATAATCTTGGGAAATTACAGACATAGTGGGTTATTTGCGAAGAACTAATACCACAACTCTTCATAAATTCAATATTGGGTATCATAGTTTTCGCCCAATCGTGCCCCAAAAGCCTCCCAGATCTCTTTAAAACCATAGGCACATCCATATTTGAACCCAAAACACGCTTCAATGCTAAAATTGACAGGCCAAGCCGATCAACGCTACTAGCTAGAATCCGTGGGTGAGATGAAACAATTTCCACAACATCGCTAGAAGAAATACCCAAGTCTTGTAAAAACTTGAATTTGGGTTTGATGGAGCGCTCAAGATTTGAAGAGAGAACTTGAGGCATGCGTTTGATGAGAAGCTCAACATGGGTATCCGCAAAACCACTTTCCTGGAGAAATGAAAGAATCGAATCGGTCTCTTCAGGCCTTTTCAGATACTTTACGACGGAAGAGACTTTCGAAGCAGTTTCAGCAGAAAATTTGTGTCTATCAATCAAGTAATCGGCCACCGGAATGGGGCTTTCTGGAGAGGAAGAGAAGAAGAGGGGAGAGAAAAGAGAGATTGGGGTTTTGTTGAGTTGTGAAGTGTTGTTGAGAGAGAGTGAGATGAGACTTTTGCAGATATAAATAGTCCTCATTTCTTGAAAATACACACACATATAATATGCTATCAATCAAAGCGAAAAGTGTAGAGATGAGTACCTGCCTGTAAAGAGGGGAGCTTAGTAGATTTGCAGCGATTTCTCTCTGATTCTCAAAGAATGTTTGAATGATGAACAGTGTGCCCTAAACCTAGTTCGAGTTCTGTAAGTTAGTTCGTTTCCAAATAAAAAAGAAATTATTGGGCCTTTAGCTGACTGGGTCTGGGTGAAAGAAGTAAAGCCCAATGTAAAAGTTTTAAAAAGGCCCATCAACATCTCTCAATGTTCTACAACGGCTCAAAGTTTAGAAAGACCAGCAAAACTAATTCCTCTGCTGGGGTTCAAGAGCGAGTGTGTGAGTTTTGTATCAATATAAAATAAAAATAGTACACAGTAAAACCCATACATACATGTAATGGTATTCCCCAAAGCCTTTGGAGACAAGAAGTAGTCATATAAATACGTAAATAGAAACATGTACATACCTCTTTATTTATATTAAAATGAATATCAATAGTCTTCTTTTCTTTTAAATTTTGTTTTTTTCACAAAAATATTTTATGGCTCATTCTCAGATAAGCTTCCCAAAAAGCCGATAGAATAAGAGTGAATGACTCACCGTAAATGAAAGCCTTTACTGGCCAAATCAGAGTATTTCAATGCCCGTTATACTTCTCTTCCAACCATTATCAATGTTTCTAACTATATTGTGCTTTATCCTGTCCTTTTTAGTCTCATTATTTTCAATTTGCTTTTTTCATCTTTTAAGTTCTCTCTGCTTTATCTCGTCATTTTCTTCACTGTTAAGCTCATAATTCACATTATTAGCTAAAACATTCTCTTCAGCTTGAAGTTTCTGATAAACTTCTTGTTCCACAGTGTGTTTCTTCTGGCTTTGGAAACTTGAAATTTCAAATGACACATACAATTTAACACTCCTTCTTATGGTATTCCATCTAGACGTGTCAACGGGTCGGATTTGGATCGGATATGGTTTGATCCTATCCGAATCATGTTGGGACACAGCGGAAACAAAAGAAAGAAAGAAAACAACACTTCAAACCATAACACAAGATATATATGTGGTTTACCCAAAATCAGGGTTACATCCACGGATGAGAAGATATTCACTATATATGTAAAGATATTACAATAGTAGAGAATTTCAACACCGGACCATACACACAAACTCTTGACCGAGTTCTCTGTGTACTCCACGAGACTCCTTCTCGCCATCAGTGTTCACTTTACCAAACCCGTAACTCACCCTTAGTATCAACATACTCCCTCATAAGGCTACATCTCTTTCAACTCATAACTCTCAACAATAGCCTAAGTATCTATTTATAGAGTCACATACCTAATTCCTTAGTGGATAAAGACTACAATTTCTTAGAGCCCAATACAGTCTCTATAAGTAATTACCATAAAAAATACACTCTAAAATAGAAACTAATAATAATAGAAATTTGATACATAATTCATAACAATCTCCATCTTGGCTCAAATTCCATTCCGTCAATCATCGTTTCCCATAGCAATTGAATCTGGACAATTCTTTGCCACTTCAATCTTCTCGATCTTATTGCAGAACTCGGATTATCCCCACTATACGTTGCTCAATCAGTCAAAACCCCAAGGCTCCACCTTGACTACTCAAGCTCCATGCCATGTAACCAAGCTGATTGACTCCACCTACAACTGAAGTTCGTTATAACACATATTGAGACTTCTTGTGTTTTCTGAATCTCCTTCACCTTTGACTCTGATACCAGTTGTTGGGGCATAGTGGAAGCTAAAGAAAGAAAGAAAATAACACTTCAAACCATAACACAAGATATATCGTGGTTCACCCAAAATTAGGGTTACATCACGGATGACAAGAGATTCACTATATATGTAGAGATATTACAATAGTAGATAATTTCAACACCGTACCATGCACACAAACTCTTGACCGAGTTTTCCGTGTACTCCACGAGACTCATTCTCACCATTAGTGTTCACTTTACCAAACCCGTAACTCACCCCTACCATCAACGTACTCCCTCATGAGGTTACATCTCTCTCAACTCATAACTCTCAACAATAGCCTAAGTGTCTATTTATAGAGTCACATACCCAATTCCTTGGTGGACAAGGATTACAATTTCTTAGAGCCCAATACAGTCTCTATAAGAAATTACCATAAAAAATACACTCTAAAATAAAAACTAATAATAATGGAAATTTGAGACATAATTCCTAACAAATCGAACGAGCATTTTACTCCATCCGATCCAAATCGAACGAGCATTTTACTCAATCCGATCCAATCCGATAATCCAACAAATTATTTGTAAGTGAATCAATATTCCGATTTGTTAATAAATAGGTATTCGATTCGATAAAAGTGTAAAAAAAATTTATAAAAATAATAATAATAATAATAATAATGTCAAAAGAGAATAAAAAACAATGATTAGAAAAAAATAATAGAAAAAAATAAAGATAAATAAAACATGGAATGCAAAGAAAAAAAATATATATAGATCATTTACTCTCTGAACAGCTTTGACGATATAGACGGTGTTTTACGAAGATTTGTTTTGTTAGTGAATAAATATTTTGACATTATTAATATGTAAATTAGGGGATTTATTAGTATGTGGGTAAAAACACCACACAATTGTACACAGAGATTGTTTGTACCCACAGGGCACATGCCACTGGCCCGGCCAAGTATAAAATTTAGGTATTTTTATTTTATTTGTACATTTTAAAGAAAATTTTTATATACCCCCCTAAAATTTTTAATTAAAATTATCTCCTAAAGTTTTCTTTCTTTTCTCTTTTGCTCTTAAAATATAATTTGATTTCCTTTTAAAAATGTTAAATTTTACTCGTTTATCAGACATCATAGTCTAATTTTTCTTAATTTATTTAATTTTTCTTTTTTTGTTTTCCTAATTAAAATTCTTGTTTGACTTACAAATGATATATATAGAATATTTTTTTTTTTCTTGTTTTATTTAAATTTATTACCATAATTTATGAATTGCAAAGTAAAAAAAAAAAGCAATGAGAGTATGGGGACGAAACAGGAATAAGAGGAAGTCAACGGGTGTAATTGCTTTCAAAATACAAAGACATATAACTATATTTAATGAAAATATTAATTAATAAACAACATGTTAGTTCTTATATTGGTCTGCTTGATTAAACCCTAGAGATTATCTAGGTGTACAGAACACGGCCCAAAGGGAAAGAGGAAGATAGAACTTGCCAAGTATTAAAGTACTTGTTGATTTAGCATATCATGAGCAATGTTTTATCTCATCAATTAAATAGGCCGACTAAAAAATATAAAATAGGGTAAATTGCATGGACATCCGTGAGGTTTCGGTGTCAATGACCTTTTTAATAATGACACTCTCTGTAATTCTAAATGTCATATTTGTCTCTGATTATTTAATTCAATTAATTTATAAATATTAACCCTGTCAATTGACAAAACCACCCTCATCATTAAGCCTTTTTCTCTACCCTAATCTTTAACCATTACAAGAAGCACATGCAGAGTGTAGACAACTTCATTCATGATCCTACTAGCATCCGAAAAACACAGATTATAAAACACGGACCCATAAGTAAGAATACAACTATTTTTATGGGTTTTATCAATGTGTAGGTGTTGTAGTACATAATACACAATTGTAGAATTAAATGGTAGTAGAGGAGAATTTTACATTAACAATTGATTACAGTATTGATCATTTGGACCTTTCAATTTATAGACGTAGATCTCGGACTTATGAATGGAGATACTCCCGAAACGCACAAAGAAAAAAGTTAGTTAGTTAGACAAAAAGTGAAATTAGAAATACCCCTTTCTCGGGCTACCAATTAATAGAATGTTTTTAATTTTTCAAACATTAGGATTTATTTTTAGTCAAGGCTTGACCCTTACTGAGATCAGTATTATGAAAACTTGGTTATAAAGTTTTTATAAATCTCTAAAAATAATTTTCTATTTTTTGAATTCTTGATAAATTATTTTTTGAATAACAAATCAAGAGGAATATGAAGAAAAGGTATATTTTATTGTAATAAAGGGTTGATACCTAAGTCACACAATCCTTCTCAATAAGTGTCACTCTCACGCTCCGCGCACACTCTCGCTCAATTTCTCACTATTTATGAATTAATTCTGTCACTCTCCCGCTTTTAAATTCGCTCTTGCTCCCACTCCTGCTTTATGTGACTTAGGATGCACACTTTTGTCACTAAAATTTATGATATATATTGTAACCATTAAAATGCAGAATATGAGAATAACTTAATTCTCTTGGTAAAGCGATGATACATGATATTACACACTAATTAAACAGGGACTCATAAGTAAGAATATATCTAGTTTGACAGGTTTTATCATTGTGTGGTAAGCAAAGTAATATATCAATTGTAGAATTAAATAGTAGTAATACTCTATTAGGATTTGTTTTTAGAATGATGACAAGGGCTAGTCAAGGCTTGACCTGGTCTTATGAAATCTAGGTTATAAAAATTTTATAAATCTCTAAAAATAATTTTTTATTTTTTGAATTCTTGATAAATTATTTTCTGAATGACAAATTATGCAGGAATATGAAGAAACGGAATACTAGTATTTTATTGTAATAAATGGTTGATGCACTGTATGGTGTGCTGTAGTTCAATTCAATCCATGACAAGCTCCCTCTTAACCCAATGACATTGAAAAGTATTTCTAATTCAGAGACAAATTGAGTATGGATTATACTCAATTACAATCCAATGGATTCATTCTCATTTGAGTAGATCATTCAATAGATTTCTCACATGTCCCAATTTTGAAATAATAAAATAAATAAATAAATATTTATGATGTCCGGGATTGGGTTGCAATAAAACAACTTTTCACAATGTAAATTAATTTCATTAACATAATAGAAATAAAACATAGATAGAATTTCAATAACAGAATCATAGACTCACCCCAAAGAAGAGAATTTTTTAAACTATTTCCCCCTCCCTTTCTTTCTATAAAACATAGATAGAATCTCAATATTGCGACCAAGCAAGTCTGGGTTTTTAACAACATATGAGATATCACATTTGCCCGTGCTAAGAAAAAGCTGAGTTATCGCCCTAATTTTCCTCTCTAACTTAGTAAAAGCCTGAGGCTCTGTCCTAAAGACTGACAAAATGTCATCTTCCGAAAACCCCAAACTTAAACACCTCCAATTTCAACTCCCAATTCTCTTTAGTCATAGAACTAATAACCCGAATCGCTTCAATAAACAACTTAGAGTTCCTGTCAAAACCCATCTCATCAACCCTCTTGACATATTCTCTAATAATCGTTGGTTTATGCAAGAATAATCTTGGGGATTTATAGACATGGTGGATTATTTGCGACGAAATACCACAACTCTTCATAAATTCAATATTGGGTATAATAGTTTTCCCCAAATCATACCTTAAAAGGCTCCCAGATCTCTTTAAAACCCTAGACATATCATCCATATTCGAACCCAAAACACTCTTCAATGCTAAAATCGACGGGCCAAGCCGATTATCAACGCTACTAGTTAGAGCCCGTAGGTCAGACGAAACAATTTGCACAATATCGCTAGAAGAAATACCCAAGTCTTGAAAAAACTTGAATTTGGGTTTGATGGAAAGTTCAAGTTTTGCAGAGAGAAGTTGAGGCGCGTGTTTCATGACACGCTCGAGATTGGTATCCGAAAAACCACTTTCCTTGAGAAATGACAGAATCGAATCGATCTTTTCAGTGCTTTTCAGATTGGGGCTTCCTAGAGAGGACGAGACTTTCGAAGCAGTTTCAGGAGAAATTTTGTGTCTCTCAATCAAGTAATCAGCCACCGCATTGGGGGGTTTTTGGAGAGGAAGAAAAGAAGAGGAGAGAGAAAAGAGAGATTAGGGTTTTGTTGAGATGTGAAGAATTGTTGAGAGAGAGTGAGATGAGACTTTTGCAGATATATATAGTCCTCATTTCTTGAAGATACACACACATAATATGCTATCAATCAAAGCGAAGGGTGTAAAGATGAGTACTTGCCTGCAAAGTGGGGAGCTTCGTAGATTTGCAGTGATCTCTCTCTCTCTGTGATTCTCGAAGAGTGTTTGAATGATGAACAGCGTGCCCTAAACGTAGTTCGAGCTCTGTAAGTTAGGCTCATTTCCAAATAAAAAAGAAATTATTGGGCCTTTAGCTGACTGGGTCCGGGTGTAAGAAGTAAAACCCAATATAACAGTAATGAAAAAGGCCAATCATCATCTCTCAATCTCTACAACGGCTAATTCCTCTGCGGTTCAGGAGTGACTGTGTGTGAGTTTCATATGATCATATCAATATAAAATAAATAAATAAACAATAACTATACACACTTGTGTGAGTTTCGTATGATTGTATCAATATAAAATAAATAAATAAACAATAACTGTACACACTTAAATCCATAAATGTTATTCGTCAAAGCCTTTGGAGACAAGTAGTCTTATAAATTTAAACATGTATATACATTCTCATTTATATTGAAATGAATATCAATTTTTTATTTTATTTTATTATGAGACAAGAAGTACAAGAAGTTAAATTAGTAAATGCAGAGAGTCGAAGTCGAGTTATTCAAAATCTACCGAAAGCACTAACCTATTGATCTATCGAGACATCTGTAGATGAATATCAATACAACCTTCTTTTATTTAAATTTTGTTTTTTTCACAAAAAGATTTTTATGGCTCATTCTCAAATTAGTTTCCCAAAAAGCCTTAATGGGAATGCAACTATTTGGTACTCACACACACACGTCTCTTTCATGACTTGAACCTCTAACCTTCCTTTAGGACGTATGAGGCTAATACCGCTAAACCGCTCGTTGGTTGGAATAAACATTCTCATTAATATGAAATGTGTTAGAATGGAATAATAATAACCATTCTAGTGTTTGGTTGGACCAATTTTAAATTTAAAATGGAACAAATTTCAAATTGAGTTCTCCAAAACATCCCTGTTAATAAAAAATAAATTAAATTAACAAAATGACATTCTTCTATAATTTTTTAAAAATAAATGGTGGTAGTGGAGGTGGAAAGCGGTAGTGGTGTAGGTGGTGGTCTTGGAAAGCGGCGGCGGTGGCAAAGGTGGAAGGTGGTGACAAGAGTGTTGGTGGTGGTGGAAGGAGATAGTGGTGTAGGTGGCGGTGGTGGAAGCCAATGGAGGTGACTGTGGTTGAGGTGGAAGGCAGTGGAAGTGGTGGTGGTGAAAGGCGATAGCGGTGGTGGTGGTGGAAGGTGGTGGAAGGAGATGGCTGTGGTGGAAGCCAATGGAGGTGACTGTGGTGGTGGTGGAAGGCAGTGGAAGTGGTGGTGGTGGAAGGTGTTAGCGGTAATGGTGGTGGTGATGAAAGGTGGTAGAAGGAGATGGCAGTGGTGGTGGTAGAAGGTAGTGAAAATATAGCAGGTGAATGAAAATAATACATTGGACCTCTTATATATTAAGATTGCCAAAAGTATTGCCATATAGCAGCTCTCAAATTTTTTTGAGAGGTCTCTTTTTTCTCATACAGTGTCGTTTTTCAAAATATAGCAGGTGGATGAAAATAATACACTCCAAATAACATTTTGGATGAAATGCATCATTGAAGTATAATTATTAAAATATAGTATTTTGACACTATAACTCCTCTCAAAATATAACTTTGGCATGAAAAAATAACATTTTGCATTGAAAATGCTCTTATTTGGGTTAAAAAATGTAACCGGTTCAATTTAAAAAGCAACCGGTTCAATATGTGAAAGACCCTAATTACTCTCTTTCTAACTTCAAACATATTCTAAGTGATACTCACACACACATGCGATTCCTTACACACATTCTCATTAATCATTACTCATTAACTTCAATTGAACGAATGTAATCTGTTTTTTTTTTTTTTTTTTTTTTTCACTAAAATATTAATCATTTATGGCCATCACAAATAAAAAAGGAATTCGGTGCAAGTAGTAAAGCCCAATGAACTCGTAACAGTAAGGCCCATAGGGCTGGATCCTGCAACCAATACAACGGCCCAAAGTTGAAAAAGTGCAAGCAAAATTTTTTCCTTTGTGAGTCTATTTGCTGCAAGAGGTTACGCTAAGTAAGCAACATGCAAGCGCTCGTCCACATGGAATGAGAATATTTGAGTTCTACATAAGTTTTTGCACAGTTTTTTATTTTGATTTTTCTTTTTTGATAGGTATATTTTCTGATTTTTAGAACTGCTCTCACAAAATTAATAGGGAGTTGCTTTTAATTTTGTGGTAATGATATGAGTTAATTTTACTAGATTAGGGTAATTTGGACACGGTGTCTCCAATACGAAAGTGAAATTTTGCTTACAAGGCTGTATCAAGAGCAATGTTTTATCACGTTCATTAAATAGGCCGACTAAATAATATGAAATAAAAGTGATCAAATAGAGACATTCATGTGAGCCTCAAATGACGCCATCTTATCATTGTTTATTGGGGGAATTTTTTTTTTTTTTGTTTTTTTTAACTCAAATGAGTTAGATATATATTCTACATAGACTGCATAGTTCTTAGCCTAAACCTATTTTCTACATAATAGGGTTTGGTATGCAAAGTTCTTAGACCATCTCTAATGCAAAAAGTTATTTTTGCATGTCAAAGCTATATTCTGAGAGTTGCTACAGTGCTAAAATGTTATATTTTAGCAATTATGCTCCAATGGTGCATTTATTCAAAATGCTATTTTCACTTAATAGTTTATAAAAAAATAATAATAATAAAATATTTAAAAGCCAAGTCTGCTCTTCCAACAACACATATCAGCTGGACAAAACACCTGTTAACTTCTGGAATTAAATGAACAAGGGAACAATGCTGAAGCTCTCAACGTCATGCATATTCTCATCCAACTCTGCCATTGTATAAACATCTACTAACATTTATATATCCTTATATCACATACAAATTTCAAAAGATATTCCAAAATGAAAACACTATTAAACCTTCATCTAGAATAGAATAACATGAAACTATGACCTAGTGAACTAAATTTTTTTTTCTAAATATAAAAGTGTCAAACAAACGATGTCATTTAAAATTATACAAAAGCAATTCTCTTGAGTGTGTGTCTGCGAGACATAGTAAATAAAACAGGGAATGGATCAGTAATCCTATGTTTAAGTAATACAACAACAACAATCAAACCTTTTTCCTAACTACTTGGGGTCGGCTACATTAATCCTATGTTTCCATTCCGCTCTTTTTTGTTTTAAGTATCAATGAAAATTTCTTTTTTCAGGTGGAGGTTTGCAACTCTGAAAAATATATACATTTCCATTTCAAGAAGCTAATTGAATGAAGAGGTGCTATAAGACGATGAGGGATGAGGTAGCCTACCTAAGAGTTGGATGGCTACAACCATAGAGGTAGACCTAAAACGCTTGATCAAGGCCAAAACTTGATGAAATCTGATTCCAATCAGAAATCTGAAATTTCCAGCACAGTACGCTTCGTTTTGCAAACTGCAGGGGCCAAAATCAATCAACAAGAAGAAAAGACAAATAATACAATCTTAAGTTTGTTTCTTTACAAACCTTCACGGCCTCCTAAATTACAGAATATAGATATATAAACCTTTTAATTTTGTTTCCAGGGTAGGTACTAACTTCATCCCAGGTAACCTTAACATAGTAAATAGAGATAAGTGAAAGGAATTTTACGAATAGCAAGAGAATATCAGGGTAGTGTCCTATTTGCATATATAATTTTACAATTGCACCTATTTGCAATTGTTTTTCGAAACTGTAAACGTAAACATCAATATATAGACTGTATAGTAACGAAAAATAGTGAAATACAGATCTGAAGAAGAGAGAATTTATCCACAAAATTCCGAATCCGATCTGAGAAGAGATATATATATACATATATGAGGATGAGAGGGGAAGAGAAAATACAGATCTGAGAAGAGAGAATTTACCCGGTTGGAGAGGATTGAGGGAGAGAGACGGATAAACAGGAAACGTCATGGATGTCCTCCGTCGTAGGTTTCTGTCGCCCTTTTCTTCTCAATATTCTGGGCATAGCTAGCTATTTTGACTACCCACTGGAGAGCCCAATTTTAACCCACCTGCTATATTTTGAAATTGGCAACCCATTTGGCGACCATTGGAGTTGCTCTTAGGAGGGAATGCAATTGGAGTAAATGGAGTAGAATTGTGCTATCATTTGAGCCGCCTGATTTGATTTGTGCAAAGTCCGATAACATCCATTGATTGTTCTATAATAATCACATTTGTACCAAAATTTTGACACATTTTATAAGAATTCCAAAGTACTTCGACAACGGTTTGACATAGCTGATGACCCTTTTAAATTTTTGAGTTACAAAAACATAACAGGAAACATTTACCCGTTTGGCAAGCGTTATGATATTATTTTTTTTATGTTGATATTTAAATTTGGGCACATATTATATTTGGGACGACTGACATTGGTTTGGAATAGTTCACAACATATCAATTTTTTTGGCCAAAACCCATATCACCAAATTGGTAATATTATGTGTTTTGATATTGTAGCGAAGGAGCTAAAGCAAATTTTTGAATTTCTCAAAACAAATTTCCGTTAACAAACATGATTCCGATTTCTATTCAAAACACTCCTACAACCAAAAACAAAATGCTTAATACACACATCTCATGCCAAACGGACCCTTAAATGCAGAAAATATTATTAAGAAGGCACACACATAGAAAACACTTTTGCCACTAAAAAAGCCTATTGGGTTCTAAAGGTGACACCAATATGATACACACTTTTGTCACAAAAATTTATGATATATGTGATAAACATTAAAATGAAGAAAGAATTATTATGAACCTACATGCTCACAGTGATAAGACCACTTTTGTCACTTTTTGTCAATTAAGGTTCTGAAATTTGTAGCCAAAATAGACAACTAATTCCCATCACGAGACTGTGTAACCGTTAACATGTATGTTGTGTGACACCTAAATCAAAACATTTCAACACGAATCACACTTGTACCAAAATTTTGAAATAATAACATAAATGCATAAAATTTTATGATGTCCATATTTCTAATCTAATTTTGTAAACAGGAGAAAATGTTATGTTCTGTGACGCCAAAATCAAAACATGACAATGGAGACACGAATCACACTTGTACCAAAATTTTGAAATAGTAACATAAATGCATAAAGTTTTATTATGTCCATATTTCTAATCTAATTTTGTAAATTTGGACCAGTTCATACTTTACAATTCTTTATTACCTCCATAAATGTGAAATGGAGCAACTCGGGGATGTAATAAAGAATGAATGTTTTTACTTTCAGTAAAGTAAATTTAATTTCATTAACATAATAGAGAGAAAATATAGATAGAATTAGAAAACAGAACAATCACCAAGGCAAGAAAGGAACAGGAAACCAAAAAAGAATCTACTAAACACATTTGTTTGTGAAATTAGGTCTGTTCAACTTGAAAATTGATTTCAACCGATTTCTCACATCAAATATTACACTAAGAAAGGGGTTCTCTAGAGTCCCTCTTACTAGGAGCTCCTATATCTACATTCCTATAATTACCATTGAAAACATAAAACTTGGTAACAAATTGTACCTCAGAATCATCTGAATGAGATGAGCTACCTTAATGGTAATTATATACCTTGGCACTAGAATCAACCAAATCTCATCAGCTATGGGTCATCTCTACAGAGTTCAATTTTGAGGATAACACAATCAAACGTGGCTTGAATGATAAGTAAACAGAGCTGCCTAGTTGCTAGGAAGACTTTAAAATGCAGAATCATAGACGCCTCACAAGTTACAAATGCCCTGGGATAAATCCGCCTACGTTCTCTTCTACTAACTAAATAATAGGATGAGAAGTAGAAGAAACCAAACAAGAGTTTTTTTTTTTTTTACCTCTTATCTTTCCTTCTGTAACCATGCTAAGAAAGATCAGACAAAAAAAATTTCAGAAGAGCAACTAGATTTGATATTCAACACCACACCACATCAACTCTTCTTTTTGGAAGGTAAAATACACACACACACACACTATTGCTCCTACAACTCCTTGCTACCAATGAGCCCTTGTTAACCATGAATAATCCGCCAACTTCTCTACTTGAGTGCTTAATCTCTTGTCCATCCAGTCTCATGGTGGTAATAGAGTTCCACAAACTAAACCAGAATCATCTCAGAAGTTCCTAAGGATGGGACATTTGTAGGGATTTAAAAAGGAAATGAAAAGAGAAGTACTCGGTGAATCGAAGTCAAAATTCACTATTGCAAGAAGCACCAGCAGAGTGCAGACAACTTCATTCAGGATACTGCTAGCATTGGAAGAAGAACGTTACTTCCCTAAATCATAATTATATATTGGTAGATCAGTATTGGCATGCATGAGTACTGTAAGTACCAATATAAATGAGAAACAAAAACTTGATCATGCAAAATGAGAAAATTACAAGTGAAGAATAAGGTCATGGCTATACATGCAGATACTTAACAATCATTGCCTAACGCACAAAATGAGAAACCTTTAGCAAAATATTATACCTACCAGGCTTATTCAACATGATGCCTCAATTGAAAACATGAAACAAAAAGAAATGTTCAATTAAATTCATTTGAAATGAAGGAAAATTAATCCATGTTTTTCAGATTAGTACACCATATGGATACAACTTGCCATGATATGTAGCCGAGTCATTTGCTTTTTCAGGGGAAACATAATTCGTGTCAAGGCAGCCTCTAGGTAGTAAATCTGGAAGTGTCAGAGGAGGATGTCATGATTTTAAGCACATAATTCTGCTTTCAATGAGCGCTTGTTAACCATGAATAATTCGTCTACTTACTTATCAAAAAAAAAAAATTTGAATAATTCGCCAACTTACCGTTGGGGAAAAAATAATTCGCCAACTTCATCTGAATAAGGGAGTACATATTTCTGAAAGAACTTCTTATCAGTAAGCGTGAATACAGTCAGCAAACTCAGCTTTTTAAGAAGCAAATTCCTGCTTTCCAAAACCTCCAGAACTCTTAGCCGTGGCTTAAGCCTATTCTCAACACTGAAACCAAGTAATCCTGGTTGATTAACAACAAATGAGATATCCAATTTGCCCGTGCTGAGGAGAAGCTGTGTTGTAGCCTTAATTTTCCTCTCTGACTGACCAAATACATGAGGAGCTCTCCTAAAAACTGACAAAATATGATCTTCCGAAAACCCGAAACTCTTAAAGACCTCCAATTTCAATTCCCAATTCTCTTTAGTCATCGAACTAAGAACCCGGATCGCATGAAAAAACATCTTAGACTTCCTGTCAAAGCCCATCTCATCAACCCTCTTCACACATTCTCTAATATACGTCGGTTTAAGGAAGAAAAGTCTTGCGTAACTAGGCACATACCGGGTTATTTGTGACGAACTAATACCACAGCTCTTCATACATTCAATATTGGGTATCACGGTTTTCGCCACGTCATGCGTCAAAATGCACCCAGATCTCTTTAAAACCCTAGACACATCATCCATATTCGAACCCAAAACACTCTTCAATGCTAAAATCGACGGGCCAAGCCGATTATCAACGCTACTAGTTAGAATCCGAGGGTCAGACGAAACAATTTGCACAATATCGCTAGAAGAAATACCCAAGTCTTGAAAAAACTTGAATTTGGGTTTGATGGAAAGCTCAAGATTTGCAGAGAGAAGTTGAGGCGCGTGTTTGATGACACGCTCGAGGTTGGTATCCGAAAAACCAATTTCCTCGAGAAATGACAGAATCGAACCGATCTTTTCAAGCCTTTTCAGATTGGGGCTTCTTGAAGAGACTTTCGAAGCAGTTTCAGGAGAAAATTTGTGTCTATCAATCAAGTAATCGGCCACCGCAATGGGGGTTTCTGGAGAGGAAGAGAAGAAGAGGAGCGAGAAAAGAGAGATTGGGGTTTTGCTGAGATGTGAAGAATTCTTGAGAGAAAGAGAGATGAGGCTTTTGCAGATATATATAGTCCTCATTTCTTGAAGATACACACAAAATATATGCTATCAATCAAAGCGAAGAGTGCAGAGATGAGTACTTGCCTGTAAAGTGGGGAGCTTCATAGATTTGCAGTGATTCGATTTTCTTTCTCTATCATTGTCTCTGGTTCTTTGGAAGTGTCTGAACGATGGACAGTGTGCCCTAAACCTAGTTCGAGCTCTAGTTAAAAAATAAATAAATAAAAAATAAAAATAAAAAAAAGGTGACGATAGTGTTCGTTGGTTGATTAATAAATGAAAAGGAAAAATTATAGTAATTATGTTTTAAAAAAATAAGAAAATAAAACTAATATAATAAATTTACAATTATACTTTTTTTCATAAATTTTTTTTCTTACAGACATAATAGTAAATTTGATATTAATAAAATTTTATTAAAAATAAGATTAAGTGCAAAAAAACCCTATAGTATATAGAGTTTGTGCAGAATTAATCCTTATTTTTTTAAAATGTGCATGTTAGTTTATAAAATTCAATAAATGTGCAAATAAGCCTCTCTGACCAACTTTGACAAAAGCTAAATATAAAATTTTTATTTTACCCTTTTGAATTCCAATTTACCCGACCCATATGTGCATATTAACCCCCGTACCCATTCCTCCTCCATCTATCTCCTCCCCCTTTCTCTGTAGGGTTATGATATATATATATATATATATTAATTCCTTATGTTTTCCTTTTTTATGCAAATTTGATTTGGTATTCTTCCTTTAATTTCAATTTTTTTGCAATCTCTTTTTTTAACTTCTAGTTTTGCCAATCTAAGATCTTCTATATATATATATATATATATCAATAATAAGATTCTTCTCCTCTTATTTTCAGTCTTCTATCTCTCCCTCTCTCCTCAAGATCATATACTCAACGCATCAAATATGTCATGACGTTCTGAAGCGGCGGCAGCGGCAGCGGCGAGGAACTAAGGTTGTGGTTGCTTTTCATTAATAAGTGAGTTCAATCTGATTTGGTTGAGGTGGATGATACCCGCGATTCAGATCGGGATTGGAGGTCAAGGAGCTCGGCTACTCGATTCGAGTCCGACTTGGAGGTGGCGGTGTTGAAGAGAGTGATGAGAGTTACGAGGAGGAAGAGGAGGTTGTCCTTGCAGTTGCAGAGATTGTCAAGCCCGCAACCGAGAGCTTGACGTTTTTTTTCCCCAAAATGAAGAAAATGTCTGTTTCTAACAACGATTAAAGCATTTGTGACAATGGAAAACAATTTCAGGATCACAAAAATGCAAAATTGAAGCTGCTTCGCACACGTATACCGGGGAACGTCCCGTCCATATCAGTAAAGACACCAAGCAGGACAATGGGGCCAAGTTCCTCTAATCAAGGGAAATATGGCAGCAAGTGCGTCATCCGCAATATCCATCATTTGAACGGAGCCCTCCCTTCATGACCAAACCCCAGAAAACGAAGGCCTCAAAAGCTCGGAAAGGATAATGGAACAGAGTACTCACAGCCACGACACCCAAGAGAGATGTGGCCTCGTATTTTTTATTTTTTTTTAGTTTTTATCAATTCAATAGACATATAAAATAAAATTAAAATTATATAAGGTAAACACAATGGATAGACAAAAAAAAAAAACACATATACATAAGAACAACATCAATGAGAGAGAGAAATGGATAGAAAAAAAAAACAGATATACACAAGAACAACATCAATGAGAGAGAGAGAGAGAGAGATTAAGAGTGATGAATGGTGGCTTATTGGTGGAATGGTGAAAGAATCCACACTAGAAGAAAAAGATGAACGGTTACATATGGGCATAAGGTTGTGTTTGGGTTGAGGGAAATTAGATTTAGGTAGTGTTTTGGATAAAAGGGTCATTTTACATTTCCTATATTTATACTTATTAATTTATTCAACTGAAGTAAGGGTATTATTGTTATTTTATACCACAGGAGGACCTAAGTAAGGGTATTATTGTCATTTTATACCACATGAGGACCTATTTGCACCGAATAAATAGTATATGGGGTTTTTTTACTACACAGGGACTGATATGCACTATATCGATAGTAGAGGAGTTTTTTTGTACTTAACCCTTAAAAATATTAGCTTTCTTTCTTTCCATTTCCTCTCATTTTTGAAAGGATAACAAAAGTTACTGTTTATATTTTAGTCTTTCCTTCCAAATCCCTCTCATTTCCATCCAACATTTTATAACAAACACAACTTTTTATTTTCTTCCGTTTCCTTTTTTTTCTTTTTCCCCATTTACATTGTACCAACTGAGCCATACAAATTACAAGCTATTTAAGGCATTAAAAACCTAAATCGACAATGGTATGAAAGTGTTCAGATTGAGTGAAAGTCCAAGCCCAATAATTATGTGGGCTGGTGCACAACCTGTCTCAAACTCTAAAACAACCCAAAATTGAAAAATATTTCCGCAACCGGGGTTAGAATATGGAGTTTCATATTTGCAAAAATTGTTGAAATTTCCAAAGTGAACCTAGTTGCATTTTATCTTTGGACGTTTTTGATAAATCTCACATCGAAACAATTTCAAAAAATAATAAGTTTGGGTTATTGACACTGTAAAAAATAACGTGAAATGAATTTTTTACTCTCCTTTTTTAATCCAAAATATTACAATTGTATAAGGATGAATTTGTCCTTATCAATTCACTTGCTTCTCCCTCCAATACACTTCTCTTGCTCTCTTCACACCCCTCATCTCTCCCTCTCTCTCTCAAAATCACTTTGACAGCTTTCTTCCTGTAAAACGAAACTTTTCTATCTCTAAACCCTCCAAATACCCATTTAGAGCAATTCCAATGGTGTGCCAAATGGGCTGCCAAAATATAACTTTACCAAATCTTCTGCCAAATATGGCAACTTCTATTTGTTCTCTTCCTTCTCTTTTCTCTCTCGCATCCCTTGTGTATATATGTGGAGGGTTTGGATTTTCCTCTCTATTTGTCCTTTCTCTTCCCTCGTGTATATATGTGGAGGGTTTGGATTCATAAAAATCTGAAATTAGGAGTTTTGGTTTTTAGGTTGATATATATATATTTGTTATGCTCTGTTGGAATTTCCCCTTTCTCTCTCGAAAAAACCTCACCGACATACCTCCAATTTCAGAAAGCTTTGGTGCCTCGTCGGTCCGGGAGCTCGTCACCACGATGCCTCACCGGTCTGACATCATCGCCGTCGTTTCCTTCGCTGCCCGGGAGCTCCTCACCAAAAAGGCTTTGGTGTTGTGCTTATGTATGTATAAATGTCAATGTTGGTATATATGTGTGTATATATATGTATGTGTTTAGATATATATATGTTTATGAATCCAAAAGTTGCCTAAATTTTAAGATTCGGTTAGATTTGATGATTATTATTTTTAATAAGACAAATAAGCTAAATAAAATACAAAAGTCACAAAAAAAAAAATAAATAAATAAAATAAAAAAAAATAAAAAAAAAAAAATTGGTTGTTGAAAATTAGTAGTTGGGAATGGTAGTTAAAAAATAATAGTTATTGTGTCAAAAAATAGCATTTTGGATTAAATGCACCATTAGAGCAAAATTGCTAAAATATAACATTTTAACACTGTAACTCCTCTCAAAATATAAATTTAGCATGCAAAAATAACAGTTTGTATAGGAGATGGTCTTATTAGAAGCCTCCATAATTCATCTTCAAACCCCATTGCTTCCTCGATTGGACCACCGCTTCCTCGTCCGTTGTCCCACCAACTCCACCACCCCTGCAATGTCCACAACATCATAACAGCCAACCCATAATTAACACTATTTTGGAGTCTTGGGTCCCACTTTTAGACATCTTCTTTAACTATCTATGTCTTGAATCAAAGGCATCGCTATGGTTACCATGATCTTTCAACACCTCATCTCTCCTATGTTTCTTAATTTGTTGGTTATGGATTTATTCAGAATGGAATGGATTAAGGCATCTACATAAACTATATTCTAAATTAACTATTTTCATATTAAATTAAGAATATTAGAAATAAAATAAAAACTATATTCTATGTCAAAGGATTCAATGAAAATAGTTAATTTAGAATATGAGAAAATTTCACTTACCTCTTCCGAGGTTAGGCCTAATTACAGGCAATACTCCTAACGTTTCAAAAATAACAGAAACCTCCCTCTAATGTGACTGGAGTTAAATTACGGTGAAATCCTTGTTAAATAACTAAAGTACCCTTATTATATAAAATATAAAAAAACACAATATATGAAATGACAAAACTACCCACAAACTATTCCCATATTCCATATCTCTCCTTGACATCTATTCACATAAGGGCCAAGAAATTTATAGTCGGCGTGAGGATGGTGAGCGATCACCACCACCGCCACCGCCACTAAAGTCCCCTGTTTCCGCGTCGAGCTCGTCGTAACAGTGGGCAAAGCTATGATAAAATCTTTTTACTCTACACCCACGCCGTCGGACCCAATCGTGTTGCTCCGTCGTCCTTTCATCACGCTATAGTCACCACCACCGCTATAACACAATTACTTACCTCTGATGCCTCCATAGAATAAAAGCAGTGATATCTCCGGCAGTACTGCCTCTTGATGAGATTGACCTCGTCGGAGAGGTGGTCGACCTAAAGGATGGAATACTATCCATGGTGGTTGTTAATGCGGTGATCGGTGGCGATGAAGACCTCCGCGACGACCATCCTCTTCGTTGCCATAACCGAGTTATTGTCGATTAACGACTCTGAGATGTGCAATTTCTTGTTGCCGTCACCGAGTTCTTGCGGTCGAAACCCTGGAACGGAAAGTCACCAGCACGCTATTTGGCCACGTCAGCTTCTCCGTCCAAGACTTTTAGCAATTTGAAACATAGGTAGTTGCCAGAGTGATTTCGGTGGTGGTTGACGGCTGAAAAGGAAATGGGTCTGAGACCAGATCCGTAAGAACTCAACCAAGGTGGTATAGAGGAAGAAGAAGAATCCGTAACAGACCGCAGAGAGAGGTCACCAGATATATATATATATATATATGTTATGTGGTATTTATATATTTGTCTGTGTGTATATAGATTATAGAGGGAAATAAATATATATAGTCTATTATGTATACTGTATAGAGAGGTGTAATTCTGAATTCAAAAAAAAAAAAGAAAAAAAAGAAGTGATTGTAAGGGTATATGAGTAATTATGAATTCAAAAGTAAAAAATGGAATTATATTTGTAATTATAGTAAGGGCAAAAATGGTATTTCATGTT